CCATCTCTGACGTCCACTCCTCGTGTGAGTAGAATCGCAGTTTATCTTTGCATGCAACGGCTTACTTCCCTGAGCACGCTGCTGTTATGATTCATCCATGCTGTAGCATATGTCAGAATTTCCTTCCCTCTTGGGGCCGATGTTCCACTGTATGGGTGACTCTATTTGGTTCATTCACTCCTTCCCTGATGGACATTCTGACTGCTCCTACCTCTTCACTCTTGTGGAGGAAGCGCCTGTGGAGGGGGACACAAATATTCCCTTTTTATGCCTGATGAACATTCTGCCTGTGGAATGATTTGGTTCTGGGGTTTGGAGATAAAAACCTATGAACCTCCAAACAGCTACAGATTGTATGAGCATGTGTGGGCGGGTTAGCAGTGTACATATGCCCACCAGGTGTCCCTGGGTGCTTGCTACCTGGTAACAGCCCCCTCTGACCATACCTTGGGGCCAGGTTTCTGGCAGGGGATCCTGTCAGTGAGAAGGGGAGCCTGACTAGGTCTATACATTGGCTGGAGAGATGGCTCAGCAGTTAAAAATGCCCACTGCTCCTACAGAGGACCAAGGTTCAGTTCCTAACACTTACACCAGGTGGCTCACATCTGCCTGAAGCTCTAGTTCCAAGGGATCAAATGCTCTCTATCCCCCACGGACATTTACATACAAATGATGCCCACAGTCCATGAAAACACACACACACACACACACACACACCCTTTTACAAAATATTAAAGACTAGATGTGCTGTTGAACATCTTTAATCCCAGTACTCTGGAAGCAGAGGCAGCCAGATCTGAGTTCCAGGCCAGTTAGGACTACATAGTGAGACCCTGTGGTCTCAAACAAAACAAAACAAACTCTAAATCTATTCTAGAAGAGAAGAAAGGGTGTCCCGAGTGGCCTTGTTGATTCTCATGTCCTGTGTTGCAGAACCTTGATGGATTGATTGCCATCTGGAGGAATTCCACACCTTGAACCCTTAAAAACTCGAGAGCTCCTCTCTTGCAAAGGGGCTCCACCGGCACCCGCCCACTGACCTTGTACGACTGAGACCACCAGGACTCAGCCTCTAGTCCTCACAGGGATCTAGGTGCCAGTCCTGCCTTCCTTAGCAAGAGCTACTGACTGGGCTTCTGAGAGAACCCTGCTGCTTCTCCTGCCTCCTTCATCCTACAGTGCCAGACCCTAATTGTCTGAATCCGGGGCCTTTGTCCACCTCTGCAGACCAGTTAGGGAGGGCATCGTTTCCTGAGAGATGGGGAGGGGACAGAAAAAAAAAGAAACCCTTTGGGCGGGGCTCAGCGTGGGTAGGTAGCTTGGACACCTGGGTCTTGCTCCCCTGGGGTCAGCTTTGATTTGTGGCGGAGGAGCCACATCAAGAGGCTGCTTGAGGCTGCAGCCTCGCCAGAGATGAGGGACACCGCAGTGGGAGGGGGTAGGCGCAGGGTCCCAGCCGGGCGGGCGGTGACACAAGTGCCTGGGGCAGAGCTAGGGGACGGAAAAAATGAGTGCGGGGAGGTGCAGCCACGGCGGCTGCTTTACGGGAAAGCGGATGTGAAGTGCTGACAGGTCCCTGCTGTTCTCAGTTCTTATCTGAACAGGGGCTGCCACCACCGGATGGCCTGGCCCAGAAGCGCCTTTGCAGCCCAGAGCCAGGCGGGAGGTTCAGAGAACCGTTGAGAGAAACGACCACTTCCTCCCGCCTGCTGTGCCTCCTCCTCTTCTCCCTCCTTTTTTCTTTTTTTCTTTTTGTACTCTCCATCCCTTTTATATTCTTTTAACTCATAACGATGTTCTTGTAACAACATAGACAAGGCGAGTTAATCGGATTTTAGTTCTGGTGTTTTTTGATGCGCACCTGGCTCCCTTCTCATTTTGGCGCAAATCTAACTTGGTTCTTTGTCTTCAGACACAGGGAGTTGCTGGTCATCCTTACTGCACCTTGTGCTGACTCTGCTCAAATCGTTGAGACTGCTGATGGGGATGAGAGGGCATGGGCCAGGTCGGATCCCTATGGCTGGGTTGGTGTGGTTTTGACTCAGCACTGACAGTCCTGTGCCTCCCTCCCTCACAGTGTGACACAGGGAACAGATGGGCAAAGGTGAACGCTATAAGCTTGGTGCCTTCTGCCATGGAGGAGGGGATGATGAGTAACACTGAGCACTCTTTCCCCGTTTAAGGTGTGTGTGTGTGTGTGCGCGTGTGTACACATGTGACCTGCATTGGCACACACATCCATGCACACACTTTATCCACATGTGCATCAACAGATATACAAGGACAGACACAAAACACATGCGTGAACATACACACCATATATGCACACGTGTATAAGCAGGCATTAAAGGATGTGCACCACATGTTTTGGTGAACTGATGGTTACATCTCCTGCCAACTTTTCCGTTATAGGCTGAATTTTCCCTTTTCCATTGGGTCTTCGTGTGACAGGCAGATGTTTTACTCCAGCTGTGTATGATATAGTCTTTCACCACCTTGAATTGAGGCTTTTGCCTTCCACTCTGTGGGCTGAATATGTCCATCTTATTTTGAACTGCTCCTTGACCAAAGCTGGGGTTTGTCCCACACCCATGCTGTCTGGGAACACACCCTCACCTACTTGAGTTTCTTGTACGTTCTGTCCGTATGTTCTGCTGGGTTTGGGAGTGTGCAAGTGTCTTGCATGTGTTGGGAACCTGAACACTGAGCCAGGAGAATGCCAGGACCTAATAGGAAGTCCCCACTTGCAGGGACTTCAGGTGGCTCCTCTCTGGTCCCAGCGCAGGCAGTGGGGCCTCCTCTCCCCCTTCCTGCACGATTATCTTGTCTGCTTCTTTGTCCACTTTCTTATATACATATAGGTGAGACTTTTTCTCTATCAGAACGATGTTGAATTTATAGAATTATAGGAAGAGCTACCATGTCCGCAGTATGGTGCCATTGTGAGCAGAGCACTGTGTCCCTGGGAAGGCATGTGTGTACCCTGCTTCTCCTGTCAGCAGTTCTCAACCTGTGGGCCGCAACTCCCACGGGGATCGCGTAGCAAATCCCTACGTTAGGATTCATAACCGTAGCAAAGTTACAGTTACAAAGTAGCTTTTATGAAATAATTTTATGGTTGGGGGTCACCACGGCAGAAGGAATTGTATTAAAGAGTGGCAACATCAGGGAGGTTGAGACCACTGCTCTGGGTAATGTCTCACCTGTAGCTGTGCTAGAGGGAGCAGGCCAGCACGCAACGGTCTGCTACCCTAGAGGGCTTCTTGAACAGTGGAGAGCTGCCCATCTCTTGATGTTCACCTTCTTCCTATCAACTGGGTGACCAGGTTTCTTTTGTAGCGCAGGTGAGTTTTCCTAGAACCCTGGCTTATTCTTGACCTCTCTCCTCTGACACTGCCTGTCCAGGACATGGCATCTCCTTCTCCCTTGCTCAATACGGATTGATGGCAGTGAGCTCAGGAGAGGCTCAAGGGGTAGGGGATGTGTGGGTAGCTGCGGCACCCAAAGGCGGCTCTCTGGTCTCCAGCAGAGGCTGGAAGGCTGCCCGCCTTCCTCTGTTGTCAAAAGTCAGGACCTCGGGCTAGTGCTGGGCTGGGAACAGTTTATCCCTTCTGAAATGTCCTATGCTGTGTCCTGGGAAGGGACCCGCAGGTACCTCTCTCATCCAGATACTCTTCACCCACCCTACAGAGATGGCTCCCAACACATGGCACCAACGCTGCCTGGAAGGATTCACAGAGGAGGACATGGGGGATACAGGCAAAGCAGCCCAGGGGATCTTTCAACTGGGCTGAGGCTTGGGGTCTGTTGCCATGGGGGCCTCGGAAGGCCTGGTGTGGGGAGCATGCCTCTTCCTCAACCTCTGCGCTTGAGGTCTTTCGTCCCTGGGTGGTGACATGTAACCCTGAGAATGACGAATGGAGATGAGGCTAGGGAGTGACTGTGTATGTCAGGAATAGAAAGGACTGGCTCAGACTGGGCCTGAAGAGGGTGGTGACCTGCCCTACTTCACCTGGAGCCTCGGCATGGCCCTGCAGCGCTTCCTTTACTGCCCTGGCCCCAACACTGCCAGAAGGAGAACAGAATTTCTTAAAGCTTTTGTTACCATTTAATTATAATAGGCTAGAACCAAAGGAAAGGGACACGGAGCCCTGGCCATATGGGTGCCCACCAGACAGCTAGACTCTCGCTGCCTTGACTGTCTGAAGTGTCAAGGGGACCCTTGAAATCCTTTGTCCAGCTCACAGCACAGCGTGAATGGCAGCCAGAACTGGACTCCAGAAGAGGATGAACGGAGAGACCCCAACACCCAAACCACTGCCTAAGATGGCCACAGTTGATATAAGTCAAAACTATGTCTCTCTTTTCCCTTCCCTGATGCTGACACGGGACCTGTGCTTTTGGTCCCTAAGGGAGATCAGGGGAGAGGCAAGTGCCTCACTGGAGGTGTGGGTGGGTCTCTAGCTCTGTTGGGCCCCATCATTGCCTCAGTTTCCCAGCTGTAGAAAGATCTGAGGTATCTGTGCATACAGAAGGACAGCAGGGACCCTCATAGAGCCTCTACCTGGTGAGTGGTCATGCTTCCCCAGACCCCTGATGCTGGGCACTTTCCTAGTCTTCACCAGAACCTCTCCAGGCCTTGGAACTAGTTCAGGGTCCCCAGGTCCCCCAGCCTATGGTCTCCCAGCTGAGTGTCTCTCAAAGACAGCTTTAGGTGTTGTGTCTACTTACTGTATACCTGGAGCTCCTTGTTATGGGGGTGCCTCATAGGCAGTCTCTAATCAGGTTCCCCATTTCCAGACACAAAATTCCCCGAGGCCATAGGCTACAGACACACAATCCTTTCACAGTTCCCAGCAGCAGGGTTCAGGAGACCTAGGCTCAGGCCAGCTCTGTGCTTTGTGACCCAAGGGTACGGGGATGCTTGCTGCTCCCAGCTCGTGGCAGACATTAAGAGAACTGTCACTCAACAACGCATGTGTTGGAACTGGTACAAGTGGTGGGTTGTCACTCCAGGTAGCTCAGACCCTGGGAGCCTTTGTGGCACGGTAACCCGCATGCTCCTCTTGATGGAGGAATGAACCGGTGCTCTCCGTTGAGAGTCTGCAAAATGCTAATGGTGGAAGCATCTGGTCAAAGGGGCCAAGAGCAGTGTCCATCCTCATGCCTTGGAGGCCGGGGACCTTGAGTGACATCTGCTGAGCCCCTACGTCCTAAGGATGAGGCACCCAGCCCTTCAGTGAAGACAATGGTGGCATACTCTGTGTGTACACAGGGCGTGGGGAGCTCTGGAGTCTTCTGTCTTCCCTGAAAGTCCAGCTCCTCGTAGGCCACACTGAAGACAGGTGCAGCTGAGGCGTCCTCCTTCAAGGGAGGAAGAAGAAAGAGTTGTCTGTGTAGTCATTTGGGGGTGGTGTGTGCATCCCATAATCTCAGCCATTCCCTATGCTGAGTTTCCAATCTGTCACTGGATTTGGGGTTCTTCTTATAGACCTCAGCCGTTGAAGCTGGGACCTAACAGCTGTCCCTTCTCCCTACTTCCCTCTCTGAGATTTAGGATGCAGCGTCTTTGTTTCTGGTTCAGTTTCTACCTCTAAATGGTTCCTGGCCTTCTTGCAGGTTTAGTTTTCCAAAATGTGACATTTTTACTTGTCTCTACCCAGAACAGAATGACTATGGGAATGTCAGGGCTATGCACTCTGGGGTCAGCTGATGGGTAGAACATCAGAATATGGCTGTAGGATCCTGGCGGGAATTGTGAGCTTAATTCTCTAGGCTGCAGCTCCCAGGCCTCACGGTCCTCTCTGCCTGTACCAAGCCCTGGGGTAGACTGTGATGAATCCCTCAAGAAAGGGGACCCAGACTCACCAGAGGCTGTTCCTTTCTTCCAGTTCTTCTGGCCTCTGTTGAGAAACATACTCTGAATTAGAGGGGCAGCTGTTGAACCATCCTCCCTGGTGGAGGGGAATGTCTTGGCAGTGTGTGTGTGTGTGTGTGTGTGTGTGTGTGTGTGTTTTGGAGTAGGGGTTTCAGGCCCTGAGGAGACCTAGACCATGGGAAGGCATCAGGCTTTCTATTCCCACTCATGCCCTTCCCATTTAGTATCTGGGAGTTCCCACTTGGGTCATGAGTTGTGGACTATGGGCCTGCCACAGGGATGGATGCCCACGTGTGACCATTTTCCTAGTGCACCATAGCACACGGCAGACATACTGCAGATACTCTGTGTGGCTTCTTAGCTGGCTGATGACCAGACTTAGCTAGGACGCTCCTGGAGCTAGCTGTGCGTGGGGCGGATATAGGCTCTTGTAGTGGCTAGGACATGTGTGATGGTCCAAGTGGGTGTGAAGTATTGGGACTACAAGGTTTCAGGACAGTCAGGAGCCATGAGGAAGGTAGGAGGTAGAAGTGTTGGAAGGAGGCATTGTGGGTGGACAATGGCCAGCAAGACTATTTGCAAGGCCTGAGGCTTTGATTTTGGTGGGGCTGGGGCTGGGGCAGGGGTAGGGGCAGGGTTCTGAAGAGCCTTACCTGACACACCTGTTGAGCAGAAAGCAGCTAGGACCCAGGTCAGCAGCAGCAGCACAGGGACACCCACTAGAACACTCATAATACCAATGACCAAGCCTTGAAACTGGCCTGCTGGCCTGGGTGATGAGGGGCTGGGGTATCTTGTTGAGGTCTCCAGGATTCTCTCTACAGGACCACAAAGGATAGAGTTCTAGGACACCAATCATGTATTCGCTTTAGGGGCAACCATCCTGCCTGCTTCAAGCCCACTTTGAATGGGCCCTGACTGGCTACCCACCCTACTTCCATGGGCTCCACCATAAGGGGTCTCCGATTCAGATGTTTCTAGCCGCACCTGTTACCACAAGCTCTGCTCCAGGGCTCTCCTTGATTTGTGGCTTGGGGGGCAGGGAGATAGCCCCACAGAGGTAGATGCCACTGTCATTTCGTCGTGTGGCGAGGATGTTCATGTGGAAGTCATGCCCGTTGGGCAGCTGTGTGATCTGGAAGCGGTTGTCCCGGACAGGCTGGCTGAAACCGTTGCAGAAGGCGGCCTGTTTTTCAGTCTGGTTGCTGGGGCTCAGGCGGTACCAGTTCAGCATAAGGTCCTCGGTCCAGTTGGAGAAACTGCAGGTGAAGGTGGCATTTGCTCCCTCGGACACTGTGAGCCAGGCTGGGGAGAAGGTGAGGGGCCTCCAGGAATTGCTGGAGACCTCTGAGATGGAGGAGAAAAAAAACTCTGTGAGGAAGGGGCGTACCCTTTTTGACCATTTTCTGAAATCTCTGGGGAGAGGAATGGTTCTCTCAGACCGACCCCAGGCCAATCTCCTAAGCAGTACCCCTGCTCAGGAGCCTGTAGCTTCTTGTGGCTATGTGAGTCCCTATCCCCAACAAGCAGGGTTCTTCCTTTAGTGTAACTGAACTTAGAGACTGGAAGCATCTATCTGACATGCTTACTTCTATCCTTTGAGAATCTCCCCCCCCCCACCAGATATCTTTACCTTCCCACTCCAGTGCAAGGAGTCCTGGGCCAGACCTGCATGTTCTAGCCCTAGCCTTCTAGTTCTGTTAGAAGGGTCAGTGGGATGCTACATTGGGAAGTGGGACTTCCACGAAAAACCCAGACATTGGAGGTAGTGTATTCTTTAGTAAACTTGGGGTCCAGGCTGTGTCCTGGACCAGAGACGCCATCCAGCATGACAGAGCTGCTCTGGTAGCAGAAGCTATGGGGCAGTCGTGTCTTCCAGCCATATTAGAGGTCACAGCCAGGGGCCTCCAAAGACCATTGTCCCTGAAGTGGACAGAAGGAGAGGTCCCATGGTGCAGGACTCCCAAAAACAAAGATGAGCGGGATGGTATGGCTGCCAGGGCTTGGTCAGGGGTACCTCACACATCCTGCAGGGCCTCGTGGCTCTTCTCAGCAGGTGCCTATCTCACTGACAGGCTTCTTGTCACATATATGTGCACACTTACATATAACCTCCTGCTGGTACTCTAAAACACTCCCTACTGGGACCCATGTGATGCCAACCATTGAACCCACAGTCAGAGATGTGGGTACAGTCAGAAGCTCCAGGGACAAGGGAAGACAGATCTGCCAAACACACACTTGCTGGGGAGACAGCTATGCACACAGGAAACAGCCACAGAGCCATCCTTGAAGATGCTCTGGCCTCGACTCTGGCTCTTCTGCCAGCATTCTTTGCCCTTGGCCTATCTAGTCACTGGGCACCTGGAACGTGTAGAGAAAGGGCCAGTGCAAAGACAGAGCTGTGTCCCCAGTTGTACCTAGACATATAGCGAGGGAATTCTACCCAATTACATGGCCCAGGGCACTGTACTATAGACATTGCCTCCACCAATGAATAAGCAGAATTGACATTTCCCCTCTCTGATGTTCTCCGCTATACAGGGGTGATGGATGCACGATGCCAGGCCCTGCTGATGACCTAGTGCCACTTGAATTGCGGGTGGGCGTAGTCTATGAGCCAGGCCTGGAGTGCTGCAAAGGCCAGGGTCCCTAGATCTCACGCAGTTGGTGAAGCCTGAGTCATGCGGTTCTGGGTAGTGGTCTGTAGGTCTGTGTGGGCCAGGAGGAACAATGATGTCAAGGGTCCTCAGAGGAGTCACGCCCAGGCTGGGGGTGGCCAGTGTGAGATCTTCCCATCCTAGCCAAGTTCCGTCCCTCCTCAGAGGCAACACAAACATCATGGGGCTACAGTATACTCTTCCTTTGGCCTGTCTAAACCACATGCAGCTAGCATGTCACAGCAGAGTAGTGTCAATAAATCTCTTCTTCGAACATTCACTCAAGAAATATATGAGCCTTTTTTCAAGAAGGCCTCCAGCAACTATAGTAAGGTTAGACTCGGATTTGGTGAAGCAGACATATCATCCCCACCTTCACCCTTCTAGAATCTATCAGTGTGGTCTGGTCTATGGTCTCCATCCTTGGAACTAGAAACTTGAGCTCCTTTTAGCACTCCAGGTAATCTGTCCAGCCCTACCCTGACACCGCAAAGCCACCACAACAGCCGCACTTAAGCACTGATCTCCAAATAGATTCTCAAGAGTTACCAGGGTCATGAGGACCAGAAAAGCCCCCGGAGAGCCAAAAGGTATAGGACTCTTCTTTGTTCTGGGCAGGACTGTCACACCTCTCCAAGGGTAGCTGTGACCTGTGAATGCACCAGGCCCCTCTGCCCAAATGTCACCTTCTGTCTTCAGATGGGATCCATCCCCTAGGCTTTGGGACCGTGGTGTGTCCTCAGGGAGCCACCTGCCACCCTCTCAACGCTGGCCCCTAGGTTGCCCGAGATGAGTTCTTGGGTAGACATTTGATCACGGGTCTCAGAGCCTTGCCTCGTCTCTCCTGCTCCTGCGTCTACATGTATGGCATTTTGGGTCACTTGTCTTCTCACTGACTCTTTGCAGTTTATTCCTCTGGTGGCAGGGTCGTTGACTTCCCAGGTCTCTGTCCTCTTGTGGGTCTCTGCTTGTGTCCATCCCAGGGCTCTATCTTGCTCTGTCCATGTCTGGGGCCTCCCCCCATGTCCCTTCCTCCCTCCTCAGAGCAGTCTCTGCTCCCTTTGTACCCCACAGTCTCTTATCTTCCCTTAGTCATCTCGTGTGGGAATTCTTTTCTTGAACTGGCATGTGTCTTCCCTCCATGTGCCTGTGGTGGGCCTAGAGATGACAAGGGTGGGGACTTCCTCATAGGGGGGATGTTAGGAGGGACTGGGCTTTGGCAAGAGAGTGTCTGCCTCTGAAGGCCACAAGGTGGTAATACTATATGGAGTGGGATACCCCCAGGGACTCAGATAATCCATAGAAGTACAGTGTCACTCAGAAAATAGGCCCTTGAGAGAGCTATCAGGAGCTGATCTGGGAGCACCTCGTTGCGTGCGATGGCGGCTAGGTGTGTTCAGCACGAAGCATCTACTGCAGTCCCGAGAAAGCGAGACAAATGCTGCAGCATCTGAGGCCCTAGGCAGCACTTCTGAGTCTCCCTTTCATGCTGTGGCTGCCTGTGGGAGCGCACAGGTAGATGAAAGTGAAGTGTCACTGTGGTTAGAACGCATAACGGTGGCTTCTCTTTTAAAGACAGGAACTGGTTCAAGAGCTGAGGCTGGCCTTGAACTCACAATTCACCTTCTGCCCCCTAGGTGCCAAGATCACAGGCAGGCGCTGTCCTGCTGTGAGAAAGGCACTTCCGGTTAATCCAAAGTGAGCGGCGAGGAGATGTGAGAAGACCAACTTCTGGGTACAGTGAGGGAGGATTTCCCTGTGCCCCTCGCACACGGTAAGTTCCAGGAAACTGTTCTGATGCCATGTGCACAGTTAGAAATTTCACAGGGGGGAGAAAGGAGAACTGGGAGAGGGAGTTTGGAAAGGAAAAGTCAGCTGTGGCAGTATGTGCTTGCAATGTCAGCATCATGGGAGGTAGAGACAGGAGGAGCCTTGGAGACTTACAGCCAGTTAGCTTGGCTGAAGAACGCAAGCTCTAGGTTTAGTGGAAGATATTGTCTCAAGGGAATATGGTGTGTGGTGATGCAATAGTTTGAAAGTATCACTTACATTTTAAGAGACTGGGATTTTTGTTGGAACTCACAGCCAAAGTTAATAATAGCTTGTGTTCACTGAAGACTTAAGACTGCTATCCTATGTCAGTGTGGTGAGTTCCCAGAAAATTAGGAAACAACCTTCCTCAACACCCAGGAGTACCACTTTTGGGTATATATCCAGAAGATGCTCAATCATACCACAAGGACTTGTGCTCAACTATGTTCATAGCAGCATTGTTTGTCATAGCCAGAACCTGGAAACAACCTAAATGCCCCTCGACCGAAGAATGGTTAAGGAAAATGTGGTATATTTACACAATAGAGTACTACATAGCAGGAAAAAAATGACATCTTGAATTTTGCAGGCAAATGGATGGAGCTAGAAAACATCATTTTGAGTGAGGTAACCCAGACCCAGAAAGACAATTATCACATAGACTCACTCATAAGTGATTTTTAGACATAAAGAAAAGAAAACCAGCCTACAAATCACAATCCCAGAGAACCTAGACAACAACGAAGACCCTAAGAGAAACATACATAGATCTAATCTACATGGGAAGTAGAAAAAGACAAGGTCTCCAGAGTAAATTGGGAACACCGGGACCTTGGGAGAGGGTTGAAGGGGAGGGGAGAGGCAGGGAGGGGAGCAGAGAAAAATGTAGAGCTCAATAAAATCAATAAAAAAATGACTGCTAAATCACTGTGTACTCAGCCCGGCCTTGAGCTCAAGAGATCCATTTGCCTTCCAAGCTTTGTGCCACCGAGCCCCACTATAACCTGCCTTTAAGAGAACAATATAACAATGAACCTTACATGCCTTGGATCTCCCACGTAATCAGCTTTTACAACCCGAGCAATGCATAGCTGCAGTCTTAAGTTACACACTCTTGCATGCCGCTGACCCAGATAATGCATGTAGACCGTTCGCTGCAAGCAGAAAATGCAGAGGCTGAAGGCAGTCTTCTAAAATCTGTCACAAAGGTGGAAAGCATCCGTGTACGGGTACTGGGTGACAATGGTGCTTGTCATCTGGGTCAGCTGAGATCAGTGGGAGCCAGCCACTTAATCCCTGGTAACACTCTTAAAGATTTCTGTCAAGTATCCCATTCTCTCCCCATAGGATGCTTTTTATGCTGTTCCATAATGACAGAGCAAAGTCCTTTCTGAGGGACAGACAGACAGGCACACACATGCAGAACTCGTACAGCAGACAGCCTCACAGATACAGACAGCTATGTTAGACAGACAGACACCACTCACAGACGGACAGCCATGACAGCCACATTTGTATATAAGCACATGAGCACCTCATACAACAGACAGACAGTACACATAGATACAGACGTCCACAATGGACAGACAGACAGACATATACACACAGCTCATACAACAGACAGACACCACTCACAGAAACGGACAGCTACGACACATACACACTGAACAGAAGACACAGACATACGGGCAGATGCACAAGCCAGCTTTTACGCAGGCACAGATTCAGACTCAAACAGAGAGACACGTGGAGCATGAAGCAGAGAGTTCCAATCTGGAATGGCTCTTGGTTAAGTGACTCCAAGGGGAGGTGCTTCAATTTCTTTCCTTAATGTGACACGGATGCATTACTGAGGACTCGGAGTTAATCACTAGC